GATTCCCTGTGTTTCCAGTTCTTATTTGTATGAGTGTACATCCTCTGGTCTAGCCAGACTTGCAAGGTAGAATTCGGGTCATGATGGGGTGGGGGGGAAGCATTTAGGAACTAGAGGAAAGTTGTATTTTTCATGGTTGCTACATTGCATCCTGAATGGCTCGTCTCCTCCCCGAGACCCCTCTGCAAGGGGTTCTCCAGTGGCCTACAAATGGGCTTTGGGTCTCCACTCCACACTCCCCCCATCATTCACTAGAACATATTACTGATTCTTGATGATCATATGCTACCTCTTGTAGTGACAACAGATTGATCTATTTTGGTACAGTAACTGTGTATTCATTTTACTTTCTTTTGATTATCTATCTATCTATGAGTGTACAGATTACTTCCTTTGCCAGATCAAATCTACCATTGATCATTTCTAATTGAATTTCTGTTCAGTTTTTATTGTTTTCAACTTAATCATTTACATTGGTTGTTATTTTTATAATTTCTCTCTTCATTGGTATTTGATGGGATGCTGTAATCACACGTCTTTTGAAAATTCCTTAATCACTGATTCCTTTACCAGGGATGGAGAACACCTGGTCCTCAGGCTGTTGGCGGCCCTTGAACTGATCAAAACCAACGAGCCTTACATGCCTCACCAAGAAAAGCAGTTCTAGCTATCACATTAAGGGATGAGTTAAATAAATGTTTTAACGGTATCGCCTGTGAATAATGTTATGAATATCCAAATGAGCTCAGCTTTTGGTGACAGGTCTGGGGAAGAGGTGGCAGGTGCCGTATCAGATCGTGAAGGTACAAGAAGAAGCTCCTGAAACAACCCAAGGAGCAGACCAAGCAACTGCAGGTAGAAGATGAAGCTTTCAAAAAGAAACAGACCTAGAGGAGAAGAAACTTGAAGTTCATGGAAAGGGCCCCTGGCCACAAGTGGAATTTCGAAACTGTGCGAAAAATAAGCTGTTCTTTGCGACTGAAGTGATAATAACCCTTGATTCCATTCCTGTGTAAATATCTGGATTCCCTGCTATAACATCTGTTGCCACATATAGTTAGAATGAAGTGTTGTTTTGGAGCATGCTCTATATTTAAGAATAAACTTTAATAAAAAAAAAAAAGAAAGAAGAAGAAATCACATGGTGATTCAGCTCTTCTCACTAAGCCATTTCTATCATAGCTGGGATAGGATAGGATAGGATAGGATAGGATAGGATAGGATAGGATAGGATAGGATAGGATAGGATAGGATAGGATAGGATAGGATAGGTCAGAGTGAACTCTGTCCAGAATCCTGCCAGAGCTACTCCTCAGTCTTTGTTATTCCCTAACTTCTGTACCACCTAGAATTAGAGCAACTCATCTGGGGGAAAAAAATCAAAATAGCCATTGGCAGAAAACAATTCTCCACCCTGATATCTATGAACATATTTATAATGGCTGTTTTGAAGTTAGTCTGCTAAATCCAGCATCAGATTTAATTGAGGTCCATTGAGAGGGGCCAGGAGTTCCCAGTCTTTGAAGATAGTTTTGACTGTGACTTGTGCTCTGCACTATGGAACAGAACTGAAGGCAACAAGGAACTCATGAGTCACTGTTGGTCTCAGTTAAATTGCCCTTTTGGAGCAGAACCTAGTTGGCAGGAAATAGTGCCACACCACTCAGTATGGATCGTCTGTTGCCTAGAGTGTGGGAGGATAGAGTCTGTTGATGTTCACTGTCTTGCAATCTAACCAAAATTCATCTTTCCACTCTAGCAAACTCAGGAGATGGCAGCTGCCTTTCTGCTGTTGGTAGCAGCTCTCTACAGCACATACCTGTTGGAAAGAAGAACTTCAGTCTTCACCAACAACCTCTTGTGAATCTTGCCTATTTAGTGTGAGTTCAAGGTGGAAGAATAAGTGCTGTCTGGCTGCTACTAGCCCCTCATTTTGGCCTTTCACAGCATGGAATTGTGGACAGTGTGATCTACTGATGGACACTTGCTTCCCAAACATCCAGAGTAGTTATTTTACACCAAAAGCTTGATTTCCAAGCCAACTAAAACAGCCTTATTCTATGAGGCACTGTTCTGGGGTGAGAGTGAGGTCTTTAAATCCAATGTGTGGTTTCCCATGCACCTACCCAGTTTCCATTGATTCTGATCAATACATGCTTTTAAATTTGTTGTAATCTCTTTGATCAATCTTCAGGGATTTTGAATGATTGCCTTGGCTCATTTGAACTAGCTTGTTAGTTGTCTTTTGGGAGCAGAGGTTTCCATAAGTACTCTTATAAAAGTTTATAGTACTCTTATAAAAGTTTCATTTCCCCTTTATGCTCTGTCCACTCTTTACAAAGTGTTATTTTGACACTTTGTATTTAGTTTTAAATGTATAGCTCTAATAAACAGAACAGCGTTGCTGCCTTTTAGGTACCCTTTTTGATGGCTGTTTCTCTATCCTACAAGTATAACTGTTTCATGCTACTTCAGATCATGCCAGGCCTCCTCTGTTGACAAACATAAATACTTAAAACATATAACAAGTTTACAATTTTCAATGTAATTTACTGATGGATAGTTTGTGGAAAATACCTCATATCTAAATTTTACCCTGATTTTGACTGTTTCATACCAAAACATAACTCCCATACATGAACCAATATTACAAAATATTTTACCTTGGGGATTTATTTGTTCTTCAATATATTTTTAAGGGAAGAATTTATCTTCTAAACACCACAAGTACTGTAACCACTTATTAATACTAATTTTCTTTTTACATTGTAGTATTATTATTAATATTCAACTTTTTTCACCATACTATAAACTTTTTATATTGTTTATATTTTAATAAATTTATTAACATAACAGTATATGTTTTTTATTTTATTAGTTTGGAAATCAAATTTTTCTCATTTCTTTTACTGTCTGTATTTCAGAACCTCAAAATGATAAGACAAGAATTCATATACATTGTATAGTTATTTGAAGAGCAAAGGTTACTATACATTTTTACTTACTTGGTTGTACAGCCATCAAACATACCAGTTTTGATGAAATATGGACAAATTATGGTAGTTTTGATTTTATTTTGCTTGTTCATATTTAATTCAATAAATAAAGATTCTAAGACTCCACAGGCTGCAAATTTACTTGCACTGTAATCTAAAACAAAAGGAAGAGCCATTAGTAATAGAACTTGATAAGTTAATTCTGAAACCTATTTTATAACTGGAGCACTAAAAATGGAACCTTTTTTCAGGCTTGTCCTTGATGACGATTGTTAAAATTATTTATATGGCCAAACAATCCACTCTTACATCTTCACACTATAATATATACTAAACACCATGTTAGAGAATAACGTGATTATAAAGCTCTTTTTGAAAAACCAAAGAATATACCTATCGTCTCATTTGTCTTCTTGATTAAGAAAATCTGAGGCAATTCCCATCATGTGTTTATTTTGTACTAGGTAGGAATTCCAATCTTGAATTTATTCTGTACAAGATGGAAATTACCTCAATTTCTCCTAACCAAGAAGCCCAATGAGTCAATAGGTATATTGGCTTTAAAAAGAGCTTTATATCCAAGTTATTCTGTAACTTGTTTAGTATATGTTGTAGTGTGAAGATGAAAGAGTGGAGTGTTTGGGTATACAAAAAATTTTAACAATATTTTCACCAAGGACAAGCCTGAAAAAGAAAGGTTCCATTGAAAGAAACTGGGGTGATAAACACTGAGTTAATAAAAATAAAATGGAGATTGCCACAATTTCTCTGATCCTAGGAGACAAATAAGTCAATAGATATGTTCTTTGGTTTTAAAAAGAGGAGAGTATTTCCTTTTACCACTACCATTAAAAACAAAGAAAAAAGAAGGACATGCTGACATTATAAATAGTGCCAAATAACAATGATTTATTGCTTGATGTAGGAAGAACTTTTTACTTTGTAAGTATCCCTATTTCTCGATATCAAATACTGAGGTACAGACACACAAGGTGAGGCAAAATACGCACCTGCTAATCTAGCACAACCGATTAATCCTGCTGCACTTGAAATACAGACCAAGTGACCATGGTTAGCTTCAATCATGGCTGGAAGGAAGGCTTTATAAGTCTAGAATATATAAATACATATGTCAATATTTTATTTAATCATTTTATATTTTCAGTAAAAATTTGATGTATTTATTAGTTCATTGAATTAGTGCTGGTTAGTGGACTACAGGTTGGGCTCTATCTGAAAAGTCATCAGTTCAAAACCATTAACAGCTCCAAGAGATAAAGATGAAGTGTTTTACTTCCATAAAGAGTTTACATTGTGTGATATTGAAATATATGCCAATAAAGCTATTTCTTTTAAGATTTAAAATCATTGGAATAAGCTCACTGACAGTGAATTTTAATCAGACTAAAATAAGTGTTATATTAAGAGAAGTTATCTGCAGCCAACCACTGAACATTTAAACATATTTTGTTTGGAATAAACATATGCAACTATGAATTGGTAAAAAAACACACACAACAACCAGATTTTCAGTCTGGGACACACTCGGAGGTTCAACCCTGTCTAATAGGATCATTGTGAGTTAGAATATACTCATGGTAGTGAGATTTATGTGTCAAATTATATTTCAGTACAAAGATGTGAGTCATATGGTCCTCAAGGATTTTGTAGTTTATTATCTGTAAATATGTAAGATATACCATTAAATTTGTTTTTTCTTTAAAGTAAACAATACTAATTGAAAAGTTTTAGGGTTTAAGTAGGTAGTACAGTACATCAGATCTTTAACTTGAAGGTCCAGGGTTAAAGTCCCATACCAGGGCATGTTTCCTGTTATTTTAAAGTATCTATCAAGGTACTTTAAAGAGCCCTACTGGTGTTGCAGCATAAGCTGATAACTGCAAGATGCTAACTGCCAGGTGGCAGTTCAAATTCAGCAGGTCCTTGATAGGAAAAATATGAGGCAAGCTGCTTTCATAAAAATATACAGTCTCACTCCCTCAACACAAATACACTTTGTTCGAATAACTCGGCATTCTGTGAAGCTCACCTTCCTGACACAAATGGTGAAGACAAAATGGGTACATAAGTGAATGTGGGCAAGAAAGCTGATGGTGCCCAGCTATCAAAAGATATAGTGTCTTAAAGGCTTGAAGATAACAAGTGACCATCTAGCTGAGAAGCAACAAAGCCCACATGTAAGAAGCATACTAGCCTGTGTGATCATGAGGTGTTGATGGGATCAGGTATCACTCATCAAAGACCCAGAACAAATAATCATATCAATGTGTATGAGGGGGAGGGCAGAGCGGTCACCCAAAGTCCATCTGTAGACAATTGGACATCCTCTCACAGAAGGGTCACAAGGAAAAGATGAGCCAGTCAGGGTATAGCATAGCACTAGTGAAACATACAACTTTCCTCTGTTCTTTAATGCTTCCTCTCTCCTCCCACCCCTACTATAATGACCCCAAATCTACCTTACAAATCTGGCCAGACCAGAGCACATACACTGGCACAGATAAGAGCTTGCAGTACAGGGAATCCAAGACAGATAAACCCCTCTGGACCAATAATGACAATAGTGATACCAGGAAGGTAAGGGAAGGTGGGGAAGAAAGGGGGAACCGATCACAATGATTGACATATAAACCCCCTACCGCCCCCCACGGGGGTGAAGGGAGACAGCAGTCAGTATAAGACATGAAAATAATAATAATTTATAAATTGTCAAGAGTTCATGAGGGAGGGAGGGTGGGGTAGGAAGGGGAAAAAAATGAGGAACTGATACCAAGGGCCCAAGTAGAAAGCAAATATTTTGAAAATGATGATGTCAACATATGTACAAATTTGCTTGACACATGGAAGGATGTATGGATTGTGATAAGAGCTGTAAGATCTCCCAACAAAAGGACTTTTTATTAAAAATGACAGTTTTGGAAACTTATATAGGATATCTATGAGTTAAAATTGTATTTATCAAAGTTGGGGGTGGCAGATTTTAAAATTTCATTTTCTGAGTATGTTGCGATCTTCCATGTAGTTCTAGAAATTTGTATTAAAATTTAATCTCAAAAAATAAAATAAAATTCAAGCTCATTAATTTTCTTGCCATTATCATAAACAAGATTAACCTTACCTAAATGGACTGGCCATATGAGGGAATTGCTTGTGGGAGGATGACTTTTAGGGCAAGGGAATTGCAGTCTCAAGGGAATTTGGCATAGTCTACCATGACTTCGAGTTATTTTGGTCAAATCCAATTTTCATCTCAGACAAACTCTTAAAGCATGCTATGAAGCAGTGACAATATCCCTAGCTCTGTGCTTCTTAGTTTTTTTCAGGGGCTTTTCCTTTCTCTCTTACCGCCAAATTAAAAAAAAAAAAAAACAGAAACAAAAAACGGAGCCAATGGACATTGAGTTGTTGCCTCTCTTGGTGAGCTCCTGTGCATGGAGTGAAAAACTCCATAGGTTTTCAGGGCTGTGAGCTTTCAAAAGCTGGCTTGGCACCCCATCAGACTCGACCAGAACACACTCCTAAAGGCCAACAAACAATCCTTGAAGTAACTACAGTCTTTTCCTTTTTGTTGATGTTGTTGTTGTTGTTTTTGTCATTGGCTTTTTGTTGGTTTCTTTTCTTTTGTTGTTTTGTTTAGCTCTGTCTTGTTTTGGGGTATGTTATTATCTCCGCAGTTCTGTCTACACAAGATAGGCTGGATGAACAATCTGGTGGAGAAAAACTATGGGACCAACAGTTTAGGGGGGGACATGGCAGTGGCAGCTGTTGGGGGAAAGGAAGTGGTGTTAACAAACCCAGGGACAAGGAAACAAAAAGTGATCCAAATTGGTGGTGAGGAGGGTTTAGGAGGCCAGGTAGGGTGTGATCAAGGGTAATGTAACCAAGAGGAATTACTGAAATCCAAATGAAGACTGAGCATGATAGTGTGACAATAGGAAAGTAAAAGGAAAGAGAGGAAAGACCTAGGAGGCAAAGGGCATTTATAGAGGTCTAAATAAAGGCATATACATATGTAAATATAGTTATATATGAGGATGGGGAAATAAATCTATGTCCATATATCTATAGGCATAGTATTAAGGTAGCAGATGGACATTGGGCCTGCACTCAAATACTCTTTCAATGCAAGAATACTTTGTCCTATTAAACTGGCATTCTATGATGCTCACCTTCCCAACACAATCACTGAAGATAAATGGGTGCATAAGCAAATGTGGTGAAGAAAGCTGACGGTGCCCGGCTATCAAAAGATACAGCATCAAGGGTCTTACAGGTTTGAAGGTAAACAAATGGGAATCTCGCTCAGAAGCAACAAAGCCCACATGGAAGAAGCACACCAGCCTGTGTGATCACAAGGTGCCAAAGGGATCAGTTATCAGGCATGGAAGAACAAAAAATCATATCATTGTGTGCTTACCTCCCCAATACTATTGCTGAAGACAAATGGATGCATAAACAAATGTGGTGAAGAAAGCTGATGGCACCTCGCTATCAAAAGATATAGCATCTGGGTCTTAAAGGCCTGAAGGTAAACAATCAGCCATCTAGCTAAGACGCAACAAAGCCCACATGGATGAAGCACACTAGCCTGTGTGATCATGAGGGATCAAAGGGATCAGGTATCAGGCATCAAAGAACAAAATAACATATCATTGTGAATGAGGTGGGGTACAGAGTGGAGACCCAAAGCCCATCAGTAGGCAACTACACATCCTCTTACAGAAGGGTCACAGAGAGGAGACAAGCCATTCAGGACGCAGTATAGCAACGATGAAACATACAACTTTCTTTTAGTTTTTAATGTTTTCTCCCCCTCACTATTATGACTCCAATTCTACCTTTAAAATCTGGCTAGACCAGAGGATGTACACTGGTACAGATAAAACTGGAAAGACAGGGAATCCAGGAAAGATAAACCCTCAGGACCAATAATGAGAGTAGCAATAACAGGAGGGGAAGGGGAAGGTGGGGTAGAAAGTGCGAACCAATCACAAGGATCTACATATAACCTCCTCCTTGGGGGATGGACAACAGAAAAGTGGGTGGAGGGAGATGTCAGACAGTGTAAAACATGACAAAATAACAATAATTTATAAATTATCAAAGATTTGTGAGGGAGGGGTGGGGAAGCAGGGGGGAAATGAGGAGGTAATACCAAGGGTTCATGTAGAAAGAAAATATTGGTAACTTCCGGGAAGATGGAGACTGAGTAACACATTCCAGAGTGACTCCACACAAAGCACAGAAGAGCTACTAAGATGGAAATTCCACACTGCCTGGATGCAGGAGGAGCATCATAAAGGTAAGTAGGGAGATCCACTAGGTTTTGAGGAGCTGAGGGCTTTTGGTTTACCACAGTGGAGGCTGGCTAGGGTTTGACCTTGGCCCTGCCACAGTCTCAGCCAGAGCCAGGATAATTTGGAGCTAGCACAGAGGCTTTATCTCAACACAGCCACAGCTTGCTGCCACCTCATGACAGGATTTAAACACCTCCAGCCCCACAGAAAGGGATCAGGGCTCAGCTCTATTGTTACTTTTGTTTCTCTCTCTACTCTCTCCTACCACAGTCTCAGTTGCTTGGGGCAGGGTTTAAACCCCTCCAATCCCACAGTCAGGGATAGGGGCTCAGCTATATTTTTACTTTTGTTTCCCTCTCTTTTCTCTGTCCCTTTAAAGTCTAGCAGGCTTAGTTTGGTTTTTTTTCCCCATTTTTTCTTCCCTTTTCTTTCACATACTGAGATAGTTT